TGAAATCTATTGAAATGCTGTAGTTAAACAATTCACTTTTATATCTGGGCACATGCTTTCAGTATATGTCTCTTTATTTAATTTAAGCAATTTTGTAGGTATTGATTTTAGACCACGGAATACCCTAATGAGGAGTTCATTTGTTAATAGGGGAGTTTCTCTTCTGAATTTAGGCCGTCAATACAATTTACCTAAATACAGGCCTCTAGATCAGGGGGCAGGTGTCTCACAGCACGGCCATGTGAAAAGTTTAAAAAAAAATGATGCAAAAACAACAAAACAAAAAGGTGATGATATTAACCAATTTGAAATTATCTCAATAATTAACTTTTCCCCTTGTATCAAAAAACATATTACAGATGTTCAGCTTAGCTGTATCTGCTAGTAGAGCACCAGGAAAGAGCATATAAGCTGAAAATATAAAAGCCACGTAGAGCAATACAATAAAATCACATTTTAGGCTTCACTGACACCATTATTATCGATTATGGAAAAAAAAAGCAGCACTTGAATACATAGCCTTGTAAAAGGGGTCCATTGCTACCGTACCTCTTAGGCATTTAAGTGCTCACTTTGATAGGCTCACCATACAGAAAGCAGAGTCATTGAACTGGTTTTCCATAAATCTCAGGAGGAGAGAAATTTCATAAGTGCTATATAACTATTCAGGGCCTTCTTCTGAAGAGTTCAAAACATTCTTCACATTTACTATGAATACAGGATACAAGCCCAGAAGACTAGAACAACATTTAATAACATATAATCACTGGGTCAGAATTACCTTTCCAAACAATTTTGAAGAAGTTTCATCATTGTATAGAAGATGAGTAGCAAGTTTTCTAAGTGGTTTATGTGTAGCATTTTCTCCCTAGAAAATAAGATGTCATTCTGTGACAGTGATTAGGACTCAATAGCCTTCTACCTTTTGTTTTCCCTTCCTTTCCCTTGCACTTCCCTCCCCTTCTTTTCCCTTTCCTCCTTTCCCTTCTCCTCTTCTTTCTTTCCTTTTCTCTTTCCTTTGATTCTTTTTTGTTGACAGCTTTACATTACATGGTTCTCATAATTCACAATGGTCCCTGCGTCACTCTAGCTTCAGTGCAGCACGATTCTCTCCATAAAAGAAAGAGTTCTTATTTTAGGAAGATAGATTTGATGGAAGTGAGCAACTGTGAGTCTGTCCTTAACCACATCCTCCCACTTGAGGAAATAAATTTGCTGCTTAGCAGGGTGCCTCCAACAGTATGGTGCTGGTAATGAGAGAGGATGCGGTTCATAAACACTCCTTAGGTTGGGAGAAGTGCCTTCTCCCTGGCATGTACAGTGCTTTCTCAAGATGCCTCATCACGGGGGAGGCTTACCTAGGATGTGATCTTCAACACTTTCCATTCTCAGGGTCAAATGTCAGGGAAAAAAGATGAAGAGCCTCCCTGATGGGTGAAGTGTCATTAAAGGATGGGTCAGTAAATGAGGGATCACCTAGAAAAGAGGGACGAATCCTCTTCAACTCTTTTTTTTTTTTTTCGAGACAGGGTCTCACTGTGTAGTTCAGACTGCCCTGGAACTCACTGTGTAGTCCAGGCAGGTCTCGAACTCGCAGCACTCCTCCTGCCTCAGCCTCCCCGAGTGCTGAGAATACAGGCGTGCGCCACCGCACTCAACTGCTCTTCAACTTTCTTGGAGAGCAAGATGGATTTGAATGTGGGCACAGGTACTTAGGCCTCACACCCCGCCTCTGGTGCCCCAGGAAGATTCGTGGAAGAAGTCCTCCATGGTGTTACACTCCTGCTTGGCGACAGACATATCAGTAGAAAGGCATGACATCAAAATCATCCACAAGTGCTGCTTTCTATACAGAAGTGTGCTGTTCACCCCAGCACAGTGCTCAGGATAATCCTCATTGGAATCACTGCATAAGTTTGTCACGATTCAGTAAGCCCATAAACAATATGACCTTAAAACTTTACATACCAACACCTGTGTAGGATGTGGCCACAGCCAAGGTGCGCTGTGTACTGTAGTTTCCCATGGATGCTAAAAGGGCACGGTTGATTATCTTCATTTTTAAAAGAAGCAAACAAGCTCAAAGCTGTTAGCACCTTGTTAATCCCATAAGTGGCAAAGCTGGGGCTAGAACTATTTAAAGTTTATTTTCTTAGCATTTCTAGTATGTTGCTCTCCTCATAACAAATCAAAGCATATTCTTTAGTATTTTAATAATCATCCTGTGCTATATGAGTGCTTCCTCAATGGTGAGATAAATATCATGGTGGGGAAACGTGGCCCAAAATAAGGAGAACATAGGTTTTAGAAAAGCATATAGACGTTGCAAATTAAAGCAGCATAACCTTTAACTATCCAGCCTCTATTTTCCAATCAGTTTAAACGAGTTTAATGTGTGTTTTTCAACTCAAAATTAGCTGCAATCCCAGTATATAACTTTCTTAATGCTTGGCGAATTGCACTATGTCATTCCCTTTTAAATTTCCTCCTTTTGCATCATGGCTCGCATTCTGACCCATGGGTCTGGAACTTGGAATTGTCTTCTCATGTCTGCTCATTTCAAAGGAGAGGTTTTGGTCTTTGTGTGTTTTATAGAATATTTCTTTTATGCCTCAAAGGCATTTATCATTTCCACCTAAAAATTTACTTCAAGTTTTTTATTCGGTGTCTCCTAATGTAAAAAATCCCTCCTGGCATGCCTAAAACAAAGTCGAATTAGAGTGAAAGTGAAGAACATAAATTGTGAGCTGTGTCTCATCTGGCAGAAGTATCCTGCCATCATTGAGTTTAGAAATTCAAGGTGATGAGCACACAAGAGGATGACATGAGTACATCTGGCTACAGCTGTGGGAACATCAGGATGATTGTAAGTTAATTTCCAAAGAAAAGAGAACCCCTCAGCATAGACATTTTCAATCAATAACCAGGCAACCCAGAAAAAATTAATTTGAATGAAGTTATTATCCTACAATGGCTTTAAAAAAAAAAGGACATGTTTCAAAGAAACTGGCCTCAAACATGATAATGATGTCCTCCTGATTAGAGAAAAATACCTGGGTCTAATTGACAGCTCCAAAACAGGGAGCAGAGAAAACGTTTACAAAAAGCATGTCTCTGAATCAAAGCTAGGGTAAGCGATGTCACTTTGATTTCTGTCCCCATCTTCTATCAGTGGCAGGCTCGTCCTATCATAGCCACCATGCTTTAAAAGGAAACTACTTGAACATAAAATCTATATCTTCATGATAGACTCATCTTCCAGAACAGACTTGTTTGCATTTGCAGGGATTGAAAAGAGTACATTGACATGATTTCCACAGTGGCATATCTTTAACTTGTATATTATTCCCATCCAGCCTGATTTAGGGGGTGGAGGGTGGAGCTATGTGAGTGTGTGTGTGTGTGTGTGTGTGTGTGTGTGTGTGTGTCAGTGCAGATGGGGTTGCCATGACTGTAGGAAATGTTGATGTCCAGCCCCTCTGGCCAGCTGGTCTTGCCAGCGTCTGCCTAATCTTGACCTGGCAAAATCCATATGGTGAGTGGTGTTAGCATCCTCTACCTGGACAGCACAGGGTTTGGCTTTCATATCCTAAGTATTCAGGAGAGGTGACTAGGGCCAGCAAGACACATATCTCTTGTTTTCTTGCTTTCACCTGTTACCTCATTCCCTAGCTTTCTTTCTGCTTTAACCACAGAACCTGAGAATTAATAAACACTAAAGGACTTGGATTTTCAACACTAAAATCTAAACTTGGGAAATGTGATTTTGTAAATTGCTATACAGTACATTGAGTTTATATGAATAAAGAAACTCATTATGCTGATTCTCTGTGCCCCCCCCCAAAGGTCAAAGTCCAGTGTTGGATTAGAATGGTTGCCTCTGCAGTCTAATTTACAGACGTATTCTCTTCTTCTCCATAGTCTTTACCCACCTCCAAGATTCACAAGTATGAAAGTTCCCGAATAGATCATTTTTAAAGGATCTGAACAACCCCGAGGTTGTCAAACCTCTTCTTCAGTGTTCTCCATATTAAATGTTATTTCTATAGCCTCAACAGTCTAGGGGAGTACAAGTTTGGTTCTGATTACATAATTATGCTACAGAAATATGAGAAAAAATCATCACTAAAACCCTCCAGGTGCTTAAACAGTTTGATAGAATGTAGCCATTCTGCCATCAGCACCCCCAGCTGTGTTGCTTAGCAACATTTTAATTCTAGAAGAATCGAAAGAGATGAAATCCCTGTGGAGAAGGAAACAGAAATAAGAGGGCTGTTGACAGATGATCTGAGTTGTTTCTTCTAATATACTGTGAAGATCACTAGCTCTTTTCATGAATGATAAATGCACTGTACACAGATCAATGGGTTCAGCAATAAACTGGAACCAGGCTCCATGTCTAAGGTGATGCGGGCCCAGAGATTTTCCTCATTTCAAGATTTGATGTGTATTTTGTTAAAGGTTTCATGGAAGGAAATCGATCTCAGTATTTGGTCATTCCTTGCCCTTTTGTGGTGTTTGCTTATAAAAGTGATTTTAGAAATGGACACTTTGGCCTTTCTAACAGGGCACAAGGGTGGCCAGTTGGCAATAGTAACAGAAGGGTGAGGGGTTTCCTACCACAGTCCTAAAACTCCAGGATGTGCCTGCAGCCCCTCTGTACCTCCCTCAGAGCACAGCCATTACAACTCAGTCAGGCCCACATGGGTTAACTGTGGAAGGTGTGGAGGAGAGGACCTTGCTGTGACTCAAGGACCCGCTCGCGTGGCCCCTGCTGAACTCTGTGATTGGCTTTAACAGTGCCTGCCTGTGTTTGAAAGCTGTGCTCAGAAAGGTAACCTGTTCCCCGGGAGAAGAAAATTGCTTTCTATATCTCTAGTCTACGCATCAACAGCACCCTGTTTCCCTTAGCTCGTTTATATTGCTTGCTGTTTTGGTCACTAGTTGCAAGGATTATGCTCGCTAATGTTATCTAATTACATGTTTTCTTCTGTTTACAGGCTGTTGAAAAGGCAAAACCTAAGAATAATCCTGTGAAGTAAGTTTTTTTTTTTTTTTTTTGGTCTTACTTGGAAATGTTATTGTTAATGGAATTCATGAGTGTGCAAAAAACAAGGTCATAGAAGAGACCTGGATTTTGAGTAAATCTCTATTCATGACAATTTAAGGACAAAAACAAAACAAAAAGCCCAACAAAAATAAAACTCTCCAATGAGCAGGGACTAGCTTACATTTGTCCCTGTATCCCTGATAAGGAAATGCCCCAAGTTATATCCACTTTACATAAATTAATATGTGCCATCCATGAAGAGCTGCCAAATACTATTATAGTCATATTCAACGCATACTACTTCAAGCCTTTGGGTTTTGCACACTCTAAAATGATTACATTTTTAATTGCAAACCTTGGACCTACGACAGAGATGTAAATGGTTGAAAGTGTGCCAAGTGATCTCCAGCCACACGGGGAGGTTTAATACCTTGGCATTAAAGCCTGGATTCTGTTAATGAAACGCTCATAAAAATACATTTAACTAAAGGTTTCTTAAGGTAATGCAAAGCTATTTCTAAAGCATTGTATTGGACACTCTGAAATTATAAAAACCCACATAGTGCTTCTTTGCAAACATAGTACTTCTTACACATCCTATCTCTTCTGGAGGGGGACTTTCAAATTAAGAAAGAAGGCTATCTTGTCATTTGGGTCCATGACGACTGACTGCCATGTTGTGATGCATTGCTGACCAGTCCTGTCAGCCGTGTAGCCAACGGAGGACCTGCTGTATTCACTGGGTTATCATAGGTCTGTAAATATCACATGCCTAGGAAACGTGTTAATTAATGTCAGCCAGCTTCCATTATAGCTGATGCCAAATACAGAAATAAGAAGTGTATTGATTTTTAATCATTTCCAGGAGAATGGATCAGCTAATGCCAAGGACAAGAAGGTTGCTTGTGTTTTGTAAAAGAATTAGCTATTCCAGGGCATACCACTCATGTTTGGAATACTATTAAATCCAAGTCCTAACATATTTTCCCAAAAATATCATGCACTTTGTTTTCAATATTCCATTGTTCTTAGATCACAGAGTATCCTCGGTCAAGCCTCTCTAGCCTCCGGAAGGGCATTTGTAGTCGGAAGATGTGTTATGTTGTAGTGCTTCTAGGAAATTATTTTCAGTTGCCAAGTTTTTGTCTGGTCTTTTGGTTAAAGTTGAAATCTTCTCTACAGCCTAATTTCTTTGCTGTCTATATGCCCTCAAGGCTTCTGCACTGTGAGCCTATGGCTGGAAAGCTCTGGAAATGAGATGATGGTGCTAATGAGGCCAGGACGGGGGCTGTAATCCCTGCGTGGGCCATTAGAGAGTCCCTTAACCACAGTCCAACTGCACCTTTCTCTCCAGCGTAAACCTAGGCTTTTGGTGGGGCAGATGTCTCCAAATCCAAGCCCTCTCCATAGGAATTGAGTCCCAAGCTCCGCTTTGCATGTGACTGTGTGGGGATACATCACATGGCAGCCACATTCTGTGCTACTGGCTTGGAAGTAGGACCAGTGTTCTCTCTAGTCCTTGTGAGAAGCTGACCCCATAGATATACTTTTTGTTTTTTGGTACCAGGGATCGAACTCAGGTCCTTCTGCTTGTGAGGGAGGCGGGGGAGCCACTGAGCTAAATCCCTGGCCTATGCTTTTCATGAGTTCTTGTTCATTCACAGTGAAGACTGTCTAATATCTACCACTACAAGGAATTTTTTTAAGGAATGTTTTAAAGCTAGGAAAACTGAAAGAGTCAAAGAATTATGGAGTCTTCTATTATAAAATATATTTTAAAATTTGCTTGGTAATAAAACTAAGCCATGGCCAACTAATAGGTATTTAGAATTGCCTTCTAATTAGTATCCTAAGTGAGAGTGTGGGCTCATAACAGCAAACTCAGCTGCAGTTGTGTAGACACTGTGAGAGAGACCTCCTCAAGTTCTCAGCTCAAGGACAAAGACTCCAGAGCATGGTTCAATTTCACCCTCTGCCAGAAGAACAGAGTCAGACTTTTTAAAAAGTGTTTTATATAGTGGTCTTCTTGTCATTTCTGATGCCTGCCGGAAAAGTTTGGTTACACACAGTGCACTGGGACCTGAAATAAAGATTTGATCCAGGTTTTCTGAAAGAGTGAACAAGTAAACAAGGTTGGACATATCTCAAAAATAGTCCTTCCGGGAGCTTGCAAGGCTGCAGCTTACAAGGCTGGTGGCTGTATTGTGATCCAATGTCCCCAAGAGGTGAGAAAGGTGTGTGTGCTGTAACTTGCCCAAGTCTTCCAGTCTCTTATTCTTGACTAGTACCACATATTAAAGATGTTCCCATGTCACTCTGGTTCTTTCTAGTTACTTTGCTTCTGACCAGGTCCTTGTTTAATCTCAAGTGCAATACTTAATATCTAATTGCAGTCAGAGGCCTATATTGGAATGTGTGTGTACTGTTGCCTGAATGATGAGATCTGGTGGCATAAGTTGCAACTGAAGTATGATCATAGATTGGCAAAGATGATCATCCACATGATTAGACATCAACTTTTCAATAGAGTTTAGCAAATGGTGGGAAAAATCAAAAGAAGACGACTTTCATGATAGGTAGAAAATATATGAAGTTCTAAATTCAGTATCTTTACATGAAGTTTTATTGGAACACAGCCACGTTCATTTATTTCCCTATTATCTGTGGCTGCTTTGTGCTGCAATGGCAGAGTAGAATAGTTGTGTCGGGCATTGTATACAGCACACAAAGCCAAACATCTTTTTATTCTGGCCTCTTACTGAAAAACGTTTACTGGATCCTACTCTAGTTGGTCAGGTAGAAAAAGGCACTCAATTTTTTCACGACTCTGAAGATCAAACTAGCAACCCTTCCCTGTTTTGGCCTTTGAAAAATGAGTGGATATTTCTGAGCCCTTTCTGTGCGTTCATTACTTTCCGGGGCTGATCTATCTCCTGATTCTTGTTCCAAGCAGAGATTCACTATTCATGTGCTACCTTTGAAAACCCAGTGGTTGTGAGATCCATGAAGACAATGATGACTCCAAAATAAGTGAATGCAAATGCAGAGAAAGGTGCTAGTCTTCAGAGTTGCAGTTAGACAAGTAGACTGCAAAAGGCACAAACATTCTAAAATTCTGTTCCTTCAAGATCTAACTAAGGTTAAGTAAGCTTTCATTTGGTATGACAGCAAATGATTTCCAATACCCATTAGTTTGCATGTTTTCCCCTTTGAAGGGGTCACCTTCCTCTCCTTATTTCTCAACCACTTAATTTATTTTCAATAACTTCATAGTCATAAGCTTCTTTTGTCACCATACAGAGACTATGGTATGTGTTCATTACACTCTATATAAGGTAGAAACTAAATATGAGCTTTTTGATTATATGTACATAATGTACCTGGAAACATGAATAGTCTTACCTTGAAACATTGACTATTACCTCTGAAGGTAAGACTCAAAAGTGAACATTCTTTTTTTCTCATTGAGTTTATTGGTACTTTTAAGGTGTACAGTACAGTTACATTCATCATTGAGATCTTGTACCTCTACATGACAGGTCTTGGTTCTCATTTTTCCCCTTGTTCCTGCTCTCCCTTCACCCCCTCCTCCCTTCCCTATTTACAAAAACTTTATTTCCATTTTTTCATTTTCTCAGATTTTTTTCCTTTCCTCTATTTCTTTTCCCCTAACCTTCCCACTTCCCCTACACCTTTAGCCCTTTTCTTCCTATTTCACATTGTCAATTATACCATTAGTATCTTATTTACAATTACAGTTTTTCCACACCAGAGAAACTATTCGGTATTTATACATGTGTGACTTATTTATTTCACTTAAGAGTATTACCTCAATATGCATCCATTTTCCTATGAGTGACTCTAATTTCTAAAAGTGAACATTCTTAAGATCAATTATCAGGAGAAGACATGCGTGGCAAATTTCTCAATATGTTGGAACCACACTGGCAACAAAGCTTGATTAGCATGATAAAACTGTGGCTCTTTCATGTGTCAAATGGAGAGACTTTCACTTGTATGTTAGTTAATGATTTACAGCAATCATCTCCAGGATTTTATTGTGACAGCAAGGCCTAAGAGATGTACAGATTTCTCTTACCATATGTGACTTATCACATATATTAAAAAAACACATTTCTGTTATTAAGACATATGTGATAGTATACTTCTGAAAATGTGAATTGCTTTTGGCTAAAAGCCATGCACTAATAAGTTGAGTTGAATCTAACCGAGGTTGACATCTGTTACAGAGAGAGAGAGAGAGAGAGAGAGAGAGAGAGAGAGAGACAGAGACAGAGAGAGAAAGGGAGGGAGAGAAGGAGAGAGGGCCATTGCTGAGCATAAAATTCTTCCCTCCTCTTATACTTTAACAACATTAAACAATGTAGTGGTTGTTTTTCACAAATCAAGATCAGAATCCACTCAGCTTAGGAAATTACAGTTTTATTTAGGAACCGATCCATCTTATAGATATGGTAGTTTCATTATTGAAAATGACAAATAACCACAAAGATTTTCCTGTCCATGATGTTTGCACATTATTCATTTATTCATCCAATGTATATTTATTTAAGATCCACAGCATTTCAGGAACTGTGAAAGTTGCTGAGGGAACTAAAAATAAATCTGACATGGTTTTACCCTCAAGGAGTTTAGAGTCCAGTGAGAGAGATAATATTGGTTTTTGAAGAACTAAATATGCGATAGATATGAGAGAGAAAGAGAGATTTGTTAAGTGGAGAACAGATGACCTAGGAAAGAAGCTCTAAGGAAAGAGCTTAGCACTGGTGGAGACACGGGGAAAGGGAAAGGAGGAACACTTGCGTCAGGACTTTAAGGGCTGCTTGTTTGAGTCATTGGTTTCAGGAGTACTGGGAAAGTTTGAGGAACCCAGGCTGCTGGAGGGTATGCTGGAAGGGAAAGGCGAAGTTGAAAACTGAGGTTGAGAAGAAATGGTGGCTTATCCAGCTGAAAGAATCAAATTGCAC